CCCCAAAACCCCAAAACCCCAAAACCCCAAAACCCCAGAATTTATATTAAATATTGAAAATATGAACGGATGTCTAAATGTCTCTAAAATTTCTATCCCAAATATAAGGAAACAAAAGCGACAGAGGCCTAATACCTCTATCCAAAGAAAAGATAGGAAGTATTGGCCCAGAAATGGTAAAAAGTACACTCAAATTAGGAAAAGCAAAGTCCTTGAAAGTAGCTGAACTCAATATATTTATTTCATCTAGATTTCAAAATAAATTTGGTCGTCAAAGGAGTGAATAGGTATCAAAAAGCTTCATGAAGAGAACTGTAAGTTAGCCTATGGAGTCGATCAGACTAATTCCTGATAGGAAACACAAGCAAGCTTACAAAAATATTAAGCTCACGACTAAGATGAAGCTGTCACCGGAGAAGCAGAAATAAAACTCCTCAGATTACATTGAACTTTACCAAAATGAAAAGTAGGTGATTTCAGAAAGATCTTAGGAGTCAAAGCAGAAGCAGGGAAGTATATCAGCAACCCACTTGCGTCGTAAGAACTATCTTTCATTGTTTAGAAGGAACAATTCTTTTGTTGGAAAAGAGGAATCGGACCTTAGGACTATGAGACCTCATATGAGGAAGGATGAAAATGATTCGAATATGAGAAAGTCCTATAATGGTATAAGGAATATCCTTACAAATTAGGAAACAGCAGTATGCTTGATATACACAAGAGAACTTATATTGGCAACTACAGTATCCAAGATTTTATATTTTCTAGATTTAAAGCCCGTGCCTTTGAATAGGCTCGAAACAAAGCTATCAAGCCTTCATATTTCAGATGTGATCAATTGAAAACCAAAGGAAAGAAGAGCTTTATTCAAAAAGTGCATGCATAGCCTGAATCCAGCCAGACACAAAGTATATCTTTTCTGATAACTTCTAGTCTCCCAAGATGGGTCGGTACCACTCTGTAAGACGTACTCTTATTCTCTAGAGACATAACGCTGAAAATTCTAAATCAATGGATAATAGAAGAGAGATAACCACTATCAAAGAGAAGTTAGAAGAACCAAAGTAAGTATCTGTATCTAAAACATCAGAAATTTTGATTCCCCAGAGATATTCACTAACGAAACTATCACCCAGAGATCAGGCCTCAAATCGAGGTATGAATCCAGAGAAAGCATTTATGAGCTTTCTCCCAATGGCAGGTGCTTAGTGAACAGCTATATTCAGAAGACAAGCTACCCAGAATCTCCATTACTGAATAGTAAATTAGATCTTAATCTATAGGTATTGAAAAGTTTCGAATGAATCTGAAGCCTCACTGTCCATCGAAGATTCGATACAGGAAGAGAGCATCAATGAACCAAAAGACTGCATTTGGGCATAAAATGGTATGTAATGTCCATATCCCATCTTCAAAAGGGTCAGTTTACCTCAAAGTTTAGTAAAATTTTCTGAAAAGTTTCAAAATTTAATTCAAATTCAATCTTTATTTAAAAAATAGGGGTTTTGGGGTTTTGGGGTTTTGGGG